TGGTGCAAATTACTGACCTCTGTCATCATTTTAAGTGGGGGAACTTGCACAATCGGTGGCTGACTAAATACTTTTTTGCCCCACTGTATATGTATTTTTTTTGTCAGGTTTTTTTTGTTTTGCCCTTTATCACCGTTTCTCTTCCCCGCTGTTTTTCTTTTCCACTCTCTTTCTCCCCTTTCTTTTCCCCAGTCAAGTCTGTCCCGTATTTAGCAAAGTGAAAATAAAATAAAATAAACAACAAAAGGTGAATCAAATGGACCATTATGGCAAGGCTGGGATGGTCCATTTGGTAAAGTAAATTCGTTGGACATCTTTCTTTGCCTTTAGACAATACAATGGGTCGCAGCAATAAAAATGATGGTCTTGCCAAAAATAAATTATTTTAAAGATCCCGAGTAAACATCACAAGACTGGTTCAGATCTCTGGATTCACATATTTCTAAATTTCTTTGGAAAGATAAACCCCCGGGTATTGGCTTAAAAATGGGCCTGTCACAGGGCTAACAGATAGAGACAGACAACCATTCGCACTCACATTCACACCTGTGGGAAATCTACAATGACCAATTAACCTAATCCCACTAACTGCATGTCTTTGGACTATGGGAGGAAGTCGGATTATCAGGAGAGAAGCGACACAATCACGAGCAGTACATTCAAACTCCACACAGAAATGACTCAGTGAGGTGGTGGAATCAAAATCAGGACCTGCCAACCACTGTGCTGCTGTAAAAAAACAAAGGTTTGAAGTACATTTGCTGCAATCCTGTATGAAACAGTTCGTAGCAATGAAAAGAAAATGATATGTTATAAATCCAAAATATCTGAAATCACTCAGCTCACTAGCGGTCAAAAAGCACACTATACACAAATGTTCATGCTCAATGTTTTTTTTTAAATGGATATGAAAATTAATGAATAAAATTAGTAATTCAGAAACTAATACACCTAAATATGAATAAAATGACAAATTGAACAATGTTTTTGTTTGGGCAATAGTATAATACAGAAAAAACTTTAATCCTCACCTGAGAGATTTCAGTGAACAGTTTGGACTCTTCAGTCCAGCAGATTGAAGCTTTACTCCTGAGTCTTGCAGGTCATTGTTGCTCAGGTCCAGTTCTTCCACACTAAAACACTTAGAAATGAGAACTGAGCGCAGCGCTTCACAGCTTCTCTCTGAGAGGTTACAGCCAGACAGTCTGAAATTAATTATATTTGTGATCAAATTAATTTTGAATGAATGAATTACTAATTTCAATTTAGGACAAGAATAACAAATAATACCATGGCTGCCTCATAAATAAGAATACAATTTGTAATGCAAGCATAGAAAAAAAAAGAAAAAACATAAAACTTGGTTTGAAACAGCACAGTCGTCAAAGGAGCTTTCAAAGAAAAGCGTCTGGACTTCTTTAAGTTGCTTGAAGATGTTTCACCTCTCATCCGAGAAGCTTCTTCAGTTCTAAGGTCAAATGGTGGGGAGT